TAAAAACGATGGTTCTGGACTTGTTTATTGGGTGTAAAGAGATATCAACTGAGTAGGAGGATTCTTTTTTCTATTTTTTAGGGGATCCATGTCACTGGGAAAGCACATGCCATCTGTTGTCTGCAATATATGAGAGGGCCCACGGGCGGGAAGCACCAGGCTTCTCTGTCTTAAGCAACTGCTCACCCAGCAAGGGGCTGGTCCTCCAGAGTGGTTTGGCAGGCAATGTATAGAAATCAGTCTGGGCTCATGTACTTGACAGTCAAAAGCTCTTTCACATCATCTGTATATTAATTCCACAAATGTTGGTTGATGAGCTACTATATGCAAAACACTTCGGGAGATACGACAGTGACTAAGGCAGACGTAGTTCCTGCTTCTACAGAAATTTAATCCAGAAAAGTCCCACCATTCAAGTCAGAAAGGGGAAAGACTAGGGGTGAGGATAAGAGACAAATGATGGAAAGAGGAAGGGAGGAAGGAGGAAACGGGTGATATTTCTAGAAGCTCAAAGCTTATATATCACATAATACCTACTCTACACATAGTCTTTCATGTGAGAGTCTCACAACCCTTTGTGGTAGGCTAAGAATATATCCCCATTTCAAGATAAGGAAACCCAGGCCTAGAGTAGGGAGGCTGACTCAGTTCACGTAATGAACAAAGTCCAAAGTAGACACAGGTCCTCAAGCCCGTAGTCCCAGGCTTTCCACAATGTCACAGCACTTTTGGATGTGGATATTTGACATGCTGATCGTTGGTAGAAAATGAAATAAAACCAGTCAGTCATAAAGGACAGGAAAGGTCACTTTCCGCTGGCTATTTTCCTTCTGACATCCTTAGACTCCAACCTTTCTCTGTCCCATCTTATGCCCTGAGAAGCTGATAGCTACAGATTGCATCACCTCATTGCTCTTGTAGGCTGATATCTGTTTGGGTACACCCAATGGGAGGCCCTGAGAGGCAAGAGATTAGAGAACAGGGAAGAAAGAGAGGTTGGAGTATTTCCTTCTTCCTCCTTGCCCTCATTCTGTAATGCCTCTGGTGGTAGCTGTGTGCCTCTGCTACGCAGTTTTCCCTAAACAGTCCCTTCCCCATGGTTCTAGCTCCCAGTGAGCCTCAGTAAAACTGTTTGCTACTCTTACCTCTGCACCTCTAGGGGCAGTAACAGGCTTTCCACGATTACTAGTTTCTGCGTGCCCCATTATCCCTCATTAATTCCCTTAAACTTGCCCATGCCTATGCAAAGAGTCCCTTCCTTCAGGTGAAGGCTGTTTCCTGCCCCAACACTGACTGAGCATTCTTGAGCACAGAGGGATGCTGACAAAGAAGGGAGGCAGGGTTATGAAAAAGACTTGGTCTACTTGATGTTTGCGCCTAATGTAGGCCCTGAGTAGGCACTTCTAGATGGGAAAATACAAGGAAGAGATACCAGAGTGTTTGGGGTCAGGAATTCTCAAGATAACTTCAATGCCACCTCCACTGTGTTGCTTTCCTTGACTCCATAGTCTGCAGTAGACTGCTCCTCCTCTGTAGTCCCATAGTGCCTGCCCACACACAGTTCTAGGTTCTACTTGCGAAATTCTTCCCTTGAAGGCAGGGAGAGATCTCCTCATTTCCCTCTTCTTTATTTCCCAGGCACTACCTAGTGACCAACAGGCACTTAATAAATGCTTGCCAAGTGAATCTATGTTCAAAGGTAATAGCCCTAAGAAACTGAAGTTATCCGACTACGATGAGCCATAGAGAATTTGAGCAGCAACAATGACTACAAAATTGCACAGGTGGTTTACTGTCGTTGTAGAATTTGTTTCAAAAACAAAACCAAAACCAGATGTTTCACACTTTACAACCCATCCTGTTCTTCACTTCAGCTTATGGGAACTTGTGATCTGGTGTGGGGGGGCATACATGGGATCCCTCTTGCACAGCCATATGTGCTTTGTGTGTTTAACCTTGAAATAACCAAGGTCAGTCTCTTGGTATTACTCACAATTCTATGGATATATCAATCTGTTATATCAATCTGCTTCACAAATGGTTGAATCCTTCACAGACAAGGACTGATGATGGAGAAGCCCCCTGCGTTGTCAACCAGGTTGGTGTTAGAAGGCAGATTTGGAGATCATCTGCTTAGAAAAGGCCTAGAGTTCAAAAACAGTTAACATGAGAAAATGTGAGCCTTAGCTATAGACTGTATTAGACTTCAGTCTGTTTCCATGGAGCTGTTGCCAAGGTACGTGCAACCGAAGACATTTCTCTAAGACAATGATCCTCTCCCCTAAGGCCCTCTTCTTCCTGGTTGACATTGAGACTATCTACATCTGAGAAATTCAACCCATTTGTAGCTTTTTCTTCTGACTAGTTGGAATATCTGCCTATTCTTTCTTAAAGCCTCTTGACCTCAATCCTCTTACTCCAGGGGGTTACCAGCAACTGGAGGGGAGGCCTAAGGTAAAGATGAAGCACATGGCTCTTGACACACTAGTTTTGTGAAACCAAGATTGAGAGAGGTGACAAAGGACATTCTTTCCGATGTCCAAATGTATATTTATTCTGGAAAACCTTTTATGAGTATGGGTATCAAATCACATTTTGTTACAACTTCAATGAATCATGTAAAAAGGAGGAAACTCATAAATTAGAATTCTTCTGGAAAATATGAGACATATGGTCATTATCGTATGCAGAGAATACTAAGAAAAAAACCTATCAGAGCTCAGTCATTCATTCTGTAGAGCTCTAGGTGTCACTGCAGTGTTCTCCTTGTTATTCTTCAAACACTTGGAGTGGACACCCTCCTAGTAGGCTTGGACTTGCTGCTCTCTCTGGAAGGTTCCCCGCCCATGACTCCCTTCCTTCCTGGATCCAAATTTCTTCTCAAATGACACCTGCTCAGAAAGGCCTTTCCTGGTCACTCTATCTAAAAGATCAGTTCTCTTTACACTGTCTCCTTCCTCTGCTTTATTTTTCTTCACACACTTGGTCACCACTTAATCTTGTTTTATATATTTATATTTTATATAAATATATATGTAATATATATATTTATAATATAATATATATATTAATGTCAGTTGTCCTCATAGAAATTAGATCAGAGAAAGGGACTTTGATGTGTTCATTGCTGTAGCCCTAGCAGCTAGGACTGTGCCTTCTGGAAATTCAGAAAAGAATAAGATTTATATGAAAGAAGACATCAGAAACCTCCAAAAAGGGTAGCCTCAAAAGAGTAGCTAAAAAATTCAAATTGCCACAGTCAGCACACACAGCGCTATAAGTTCCCGTAGTTAGATGAGTGGTTAGGAGAGAGACTAGCGGTTCTTGTTAGGGATAGAAACGTCTACACGACTGCATGGTTTGAGAAGCATCCAAGATCCTCATAACTAAAAAATCACCATCCACTTCTCCTCATTCCCACAATGCCTGAAATTCCAACAAGTAGTTCCCAGAAATCATAATCATTTTGGTGGTATTAAGGCACTGGGCCATTTGGGAGAAGTAACGAGTTATAATCAGAACTGTGTTGACCTGGTTATCTAATCATGACGCACTGCCACTGGTAGGAAGAGGTGGAGCCTGAGCCCCCAGGGACTGGGAAATCAGGGATAATGAGTCATTGTGACACAAGGGGGCAGGAGAGAGCAGGGATGACCAGGCCAGGAGAAGACCCGAACAGAACCTGGGCTGGGAAAGTGCCCCGACTGTTCCCGCCACTTGGGTAAGCTCCGGCGGGGAGACCTCACAGGCCACAGGAGTGTGATTCCTGGCTCTTCCACTTACAGATTCTAGGGATGATCTTGAGTAATTTTCTTCGCCTCTCTGCACCTATTTTCTGTCTGCAAGATGGGAATTAGAAGACCTACCTCGAAGGGCTACTGTGAGAAGTAAATGAGACTCCTGTTTATGGAGGACTTAGCTTGGTACTAACACAGGGCATGTACTTAGTAAACAAATGGCAGTTCGGACGGTTATGTTTCCAATGTGCCTGCCCTTCAGGCCTCATTGGAGGCCCAGCTTCTCGGAAGGTTGGCCACTTCCTTCTTGGAGCGTTTCTGGATTCCTTCATATGAGAACAGGGTCTCTCCGTGTACTGAGCTGGTAGAGCACGCGGCTGGTACTTCCTTCATAGCACTTACTGCTTGCTGCCATGTGTTTATTTGTGCGTTATATTTATTTATGTTTCATGCTTTAGTTCTCTGATAATACTCCGATAATACCGATAATACTCCGATAATAATCAGATGGTATCTGATTTTACCGTTCCTGACATTGCCTCACGATTTCTTGTACATCACAGATAACCAATAAATATAAATTGCCCCACGGATGAATATCTGTAAACCCTTGATCAATTATTTTATAATCCAGTGATTTTTCACAGTCTTTTGTAAAAAGGACCCCAACGGGTCATCTACAGGTTAAAGGGAACATGATTTAGAACGTGAAGTAACCACTGTCCCTGGTCTAAGGGCTGTTTGGTTGCATTGTTCAGACTTTCCAGCAACGTCTATCAGAGGCTGCTGGGTTGGGGCAGCCAATGTCCCTTAAGAGGCCGTTGGACTGGCCTGGACAGAAGACTAAATTCTAACTTGCAGATTTCAGTTCAGTAAGTGAGTTGATGCTGATACTCTGGTCATGAAAAGGGAGATGAAGATTTAATTTCATAATGATTGGAGCAGGAGGAGAGAATCGAAAGCTGAAATTGAATTGTATGAAACCCCAAAATGGTCAGAGATAGGCTTCTTCAAATGATTCAACCTGCATAATCATACTAGAAATCTGATCATCTGGGTTACGTTTCGATAGAAGCATCCTAAGGACTAATGTGCCACCAGAGAAAGGGTACCATGGATTTTCCCCTCTCTTCTCCATTCTGCGTTACAGACTTCACATCTGTCAATCAACTTCCCATCACGGCTGAGATAGCATTTTGGAAGCCCAACTAAGGAGCAAGCTTGACTTGTACTTGTAGATACAGCAGATGGGTAAGTGGGCCCATGGCAAACCAAGGGGACAGGACCGTGATGCCCCTGGAGCAGAGCCACGTGCAGCTGCACGAGGGGAGACGAGCAGATGATGGGCAGATGGAGACCAGCCTTCAAGGGGCTGAGCAGCCTTTGAAGTCAAGGCTGGCTGGTGGAGACAAAATGCTCTGAAATCAGGAACTGGATTGAGATCGAGGTTGGCAAAAGGGACATTACACAGTACTTGGACAGTATTGTCAACAGACCATGTTTCTATTTCCCTCCTATGAACTCAGACAATGCAGATTTTTATGAGGTTATATTTTGGTAAGAAAATGAAATTAGGGATGCCTGGGTGGCTCAGTTCATTAAGCATCTGCCTTCAGCTCAGGTTATGGTCCCAGGGTCCTGGGATTGAGCCCCACATGGACTCCCTGCTCAGTGGGGAGTCTGCTTCTTCCTCTGTCTGCCTCTCACCCTGCTTATGCTCACACATACTCTCTCTCTCTCTGACAAATAAATAAGTAAAATCTTTTTTAAAAATTCAAAAAACTGACATTATAACAATTATAAATATTATGTGTGGAGATAGTGTCAGTGACACTCATATTAGACAAAATCCTCCCATTATACTGTTATGCCGGAAGTTATTAATACTTTTTTTGTTTTTTTTGTTTTGTTTTGTTTTGTTCTTTGCTTGTTGGCATGTCCCAGGGATGTAGACCTCAGATGTCATAAGAAGAACCCCAGATTCCAAGGGAAATTCTATACCAATCCAGGTTCACTCAGAAACACAGCCTCTTTTCAAATCCCTTCTTCCTTCTCCTCTCCCATTCTTTGCCTGGAATTGATTTCTGTGAGGTTTTTTCCTTATGAATAATATGGTAGCAATTCGTACCTATTTCATTCCCCCTCACTCCCTCAGCTCCACTCACGAGCCTTCTTGCTGCTCCTGGAGCCAAGCCTGTCCTTTTCTCCAAGTGTTTGTATAGTCCCCCTGCCTGGACTGGTGTCCCCAGATAGCTGCCTGGCTCCCTCATCCCCAGCAGGCCCTTGAAAGGGGAGGTCTTTCTTAAGCACTGCTGTTTTAAATTGCCTTGCTTTGTCCCTTTGCCGCTCTGTTTTTCTCCATTGCACTTTTCAGAAGACATTTTTTGTGTTGTCTTCCTTCCCTCCATCTACTAGGGTGTAAGCCCCCAAGGGCAGACATTTTCATCTGTTTCGTCTGCTGTGTGCTCAGAGCCTAGAACCGTGCCTGGCACTCACATGTTTGTTGAATACACAGATGGATACTAAGAAGGCATGAGGACTTTTCTTCCTTCTGCCTCCCTCTCTAAAACAGTTAGGTATCTGCAGAGTAGCCACAAAACCTTTCCAGATGTGGAGAAATGGAAGAGTTTCAAAACTGGTTACAGATCCAAGCATCTACACGTTGTACAGATTCCAGACTAGGTGCAAATGAGATTTCAGCTCTGCTCCCCATTCGCCAGCCTGCACGTTCTGAAAAGTAACTTGAAAAGTATACATTCCAGGTTAAATAGATGCATATTCATTTCAGCATCTTTCCAAGCAGAGAAATAAAATGCTTTGCCAACAACTTAATTCACAAATATTTACGAAGCTCCTACCACGTGCCAAGCTCCCTCTGGTAGGCCTTGGCAGGAACCACAAAAGAGAGAAGTGAAGTCCCAGTCCTCAAGTGCCTTAGGATCCAGAAGGGAGTAGAAGGTAAGCAAAGATAAAGAGAATGGAGGCAGAACATGATAACTACTGATTTCAGCGTAGTATTTATACTGCTGCTCAGTCTCACTCTTAGTTTTATAAGAACTAACACTTCCATGATGAGAGACTCTTGTGTCCCAACTGAGAGCTTTCCACTGGTTGCTTCCTTATCCCAACCCAGATCCCCCCACCTCCCTGCCCCGGGAAGGAAAAGGGGGAAGAAAAAAGCTGAAAACAATGAAAAGGGCCTTGAGGCCTTACGTTCTGCCTAAGCCTGGGGAAGACCAGACTCCTCCATCTTGCTCAACGAGGCAACTGATGTGCTGGACCGCACTCCATGGAGGGGCCCACAGGGCTGGGTGCGTACTCTGAACCTGGCCTCGCCACCCCCCACCCCAGCTAGAGGAGCAGGGAGAAAGGAGAGGACAGTTCTGCTTTTATAGACTTGGTACAGTCAGGCAGGAGGGGCCCTGGCAGGACCTGGTTCAGTCTCAGGGACTCCTGTCTTCCTTCGAGGTTAAGGTAACGGTAGCCTGGCCTTGCAGTGGCCCATTCCCAAAGACAATCTCCATGTAATGAATGTTTTCAGAAACAGTTTTAGAGAAAAGGGAAGTATAGACAGGCTTGTGTACACCAAAGCCAAATGCCGACTGAACTATTTGGTGAGATGATTTTTTTCATACTTCTTTCTTAAATATAAATTTATAAATAAAGAGGGAGGAGTCAACATCATTAAGTAGTATTCAGCCTGGGGAATGGGAGCCCGATATAGTCCAGGGTTCCCTGCCATGGCAAGGGCCACATGCGAAAACGATCTGAGTGCTAGGGGAGTTCCCAAAGGGTCAAGAGCATTTGGCTGGGCAATCTGGAAACACTGTGGGGAATGTGTCTAGTACAGTCCCCGGATGTGGACGTGGTCCCCACATGACAGAGGGCCCCCGTCACCTACTCATCCCCGCCTTCCCCATAGGACAAGGAAAAGCACTGTGCTTTTAAAACGCTTTCTCAGGAGGCCTGAGTCCTAATGTGGTTTCTCTGGCAGATCTGGGGTGTGTGTGTGTGTGTGTGTGTGTGTGTGTGTGTGTGTGTGTGTGTGTACTTGAATAGGATAAGGTAGGAGCCCTCATTTACCCACTAAGAGCCTTCATTCATAAAACAAGGGCATGGAGAGCGCCTGGGTGGCTCAGTGGGTTAAAGCCTCTGCCTTTGGCTCAGGTCATGATCCCAGGGTTCTGGGATTAAGCACTGCATCGGGCTCTCTGCTTGGCGGGGAGCCTGCTTCCCCCTCTCTCTGCCTGCCTCTCTGCCTGCTTGTGATCTCTCTCTCTGTGCCAAATAAATAAAATCTTAAAAAAAAAAAAAAAAAAACAAAACAAGGGCATGGGTAATAGGATTATGAAGCCCTCTGACAGCAACCCCCAGGGGACCAGTGTGTGGTCCCAGGTCCTTCCACCACAAAGTCCAGAGTCACACTGCTTTCCACTTCACTTACAAGTTGAGATTACCCATAAAATTTCATCATAAGGTTTCCAGACCAGGACAAAAAAGCCTCCAGGTCTTGGGCTGGAGCTCTTAGGTCCTCTCCAGGATCCAGTTCCTGGGGTTCTGTGATTATGTAAAACAAAATAGCAGCTAGGTCCTGGGAGGAATGCAGCTGAACACAGGGCACTGATGTGGGCTGTGATGGTCCATGACTCTAAATATCTTTTTTCTTTGCATTCCTTCCAGGGACTGACTCGCTGACATATTTTCGCCTGGGCATTTCAGATCCCAGCCATGGGGTCACTGAATCTCTTTCTCATCCCATCATTACATATGGTCTCTTGGCAGAAGGAGCCGTGGGCTCCGAGGACGGTGGAGAACCCCTTGCCTGGTCCCTGGGAGGGGCAGGCTCGGCTGCCGAGGTCCTGAGCTAGAGCACCTGCAGAGTTACCATGATCACTCGGGGGGTGCAGGCAGCGGAGATGAAAGCTTGCCCTCACTAGCCCCCATTCCTGCGGGGAGTTCTCAGGGCTGATAGTGACCACGAGCGCTTGCTGAGTTGCATTCTTTTGGCAAAGCCTGGACAATCTGGTCGACCGCGTTCCATGCCTGCCATCTGCCCGAGCCATCTTCCAAATTCTCTTCCTCGGGAGCCCTTTGTCCTTTGCCCCCGATATCCTTATGCCACTCCCACTCGGGCTTCTAACCAGCATCTTCTCCCTTCTCATTCTAAATGTGACCATCTGGTGTCTCATTTCCTGGTGGCCAGGCTTAGCCAGCCACTTGCCTATGGACAGTGACATACTACATTAACTTTCCCAGGATATTTCTGGCTCTTGCATATCTTTCTCTCCTTTATTGCATTATAAAGTTTATTAATCGATCATTCCCATTATTGGATAATTCCCCAAGGCAAAAATTATCAGGTTCCTATGGCTTGCAAATATCTGTTGCTAGGTGGGTTTTGTGGTAGGAATGTCCTGGAGGCATGCCTGTGGGATGATGTATTCGGGGGCAAAGGAGGCTTCCAGCCATACCCGCAGTCACCCACTGGGTGCCCCCCTCTATGTCCCTGTCTAAACCCCTTCCTGACCCACATGTCTGAGCCAGGCTTTCACACTTACCAGAGGATGACTGGCTAGGTGTTGTTGGAGGACAGAAGCACTACAGTCCTCTGGCACGCCTACGATGGACAAGATTTCATTATCTTTTAATAAATACTTTTTCTGGATGGCTACAGATAATATGGCTCACACCACCAAGCGGGTGTGGAAGGCCTGTTGGCATGAGTTAGAATATCAAAAGAACTCACTAGAAGAAGAACGTGTTACCCCATTAAAGAGGTTTCTGGAGCATGGGGAAGATACTTGCAAAGGACAGGTAAAAAGAAGGGAGAACACCAGGTCCCCAGAACCCATGGTTTTATATAGAGCTTCCTCTAATCTAGGTCACCGTATTCTGAAATCCATCTTGTGATTTGGACTATGGTGATTGAGGACACCTGAAGTTAGGCACCCAGAGACCTGCGGCAGAGGGAAGCCGTTACACGCCCAAATCAGAAGGGGCAGGCGAAGGCTGGCGCCCAGAAGCGCCTTCCAGCAAGTCCCATGGCTCTGAAGAAGCACAGTCGCTGGCAGACCGCGGTGAGGTGCTTGGAGAACGGGTGCCCGAGAACCCCACCCTTGCTCTCCTCTGTCTCTCTGACATTTCCCGAGGATGTTCCTCCTTGCCAGTGGCCAGACCCTCCCAGGCCAGGGAGCGCTGGAGGGGCTGTCTGAGGAGCACAACCTTCCAGGGCACAACACAGAGCAGAGACTAGATCTGGGGGCTACAAGAGAGAGTAACTCGTGCACGGTGGGCTGTGTTTGGGTTCTAGGACTAAGATCAGTACTTCTCAACAGAAGCATGCACTGGAGTCAGGAGAACTGATTTTCCAATATATGTTATGGGTGTGTCAGGAGCAGGGGTTGCTATTATCAGAAAAAAAGTGGAGCTTGTAGATGCTAAGCTGGCAAAGCAATAATCTTGAGTAAAATAAACAGTTGTGATAATGCCTACAGCATAGACATTGGTGTGAAAAACGTGCGTGAAAGCACTTTGCTCTGCTTACACATCGTATCTCATTGTCGTTGCCAGACTGAAGAAGGTCTGACAGCTTAGGATCTGGCTGAAATCTGTGGCCAACTTGGGCTTGTACTGGACCCTTAGTCACTGAGACACTGAAGGCCAAGGCTAGGCAGGTTTGAAGAGGGGGCCCTAGGAGTCTCCACTCCCCAGATCTTGATGTGTGGCATTGCCTTTGACCGCAAACAAAGAGAACCCTTAGCTGCCTGGCCTTCTGCTCTCAAGGAAGGGAGAGAGAAACTGGGGAGACAGTAGGAAAACTGGAACAGAATTGCAATCAGTTGGGATTTGAGGGTTGATACTAATCCTGTTGATTCTCTCTGGGGTGAGGAGCTCTTTGGAAAGAAAGGGGAGAACCTGGGCTTCTAGGTTGTGTGGGAAGGATACGGGAAGTATGGTTTCAGGGTATCTGCTCCCCATCCAAGCCTCCTCTCCATCCACCATGACCTAATAAGCTGTCAACCCTTGGTCAAAACCCATTCCTAGAAAAGTATCTGGAAACAATTTCTTCTGGGTACTGTCAAAAAGCAGCATCTCTCCTTGTGGCATTCATATTTTATTTTTCATGCTGAGAAGCCTTTTTGTTCTACTAAATTTCATGCCTCAGGAGAAATAGAAAGAGGGTGTTGCTGAGGTAAGGCTCTTCCCTGTATCCAAGGGCCAGATAGTAAGGGGAGGCAGGGGTAAAAGGTGAGACCTACAGACGAGCGGGAGGCAGCTCCTTCCGGAACGCCGTTAGGCTCTGTGTGGCTCACATCTGGATGGGCCCCAGTTCAGCGGACATATTAAGGACAGCACCATCTGGAACATTAGCAGAATAATCAAGAGGAAGCGAGGCAGTTTTTTGTGGTCACTCTGGAGCCCCTTCATGATATGAATTTCTGGAGTTCCTTCGAGGGCATGACCATGACATGATCTATTGATTACATATTTGTGTTTCTGACAGTCAACTGTTTTAATCCATTTAGCTGTATAACAGAACACCATATGCCGGGGTACTTATAAACAATAGAATTGTATTTCTCACAGATCTGGAGACTGCAAGTCTGAGATTAGGGTGTCAGTGTGACCGGATGGGGGCCCTGTTCTCAGTTGCCCACGGTGGGCTTCTGACGGTGTCCTCACATGATCGGATTGGGCCAGGGATCTCTCAGAGCCTCATCTGTAAGGGCTCTAATCCCGTTCATGAGGGTTCCACTTAAGCACATCCCAAAGGCCCCACCCACTAATACTGTCACCCTTGCTGCTGGGTTTCAACATGGGAATCTGGGGGCGGGGAACATAAACATTCAGACCATAGCAGTTGTGAACGTGGCCACCCAAGGATGCCAGGCGGTTCAGAGCCAAACCAGAGCCAAGGTGGCTGGGATAGCTCTTTGCATGGATTTGAGAAAAAGGAAGCCTGAGTTCTGAACTCCAGGCTTTTGCTGAATTACTCATCACAGTCACACATGTTGTAACTCAGTTTTCCTTTTCTGTGACTCATAAAAGTATTTCAAAGGTTAACAGTAAATGATCCTGACACACTTTCCAAACACTCAAAACTATGAGGCTTTTCCCCTGCTTAGAGGACGAACATGGCTGAACTCCGCATTTGTCATTCCCCAGCATGCTGACCTGGTAGAAGGCACACAATAAATACGTTTGTTGTTGACGGACCTGGGCTCTGGCTCATCCTTGGTTTTGGATGTTTCCTGCATTAAAGAAAATAAATTGCAAGACCCAGTTGCCAAGTTCCAGTATTGTAATGCTCTACAACAATGTACCTACAACACTTGTGCTTAACTTTATTTCTTCTTCCTAGAGCCCCCACCGGTCAGAGTAAATCATAGCTTTTCCAAGGATTACAACTCCTTTCTGCAGAGTTCATGGCTTTTTCCGCGCCAACCCCCCTCAGGAATTTGCATGATCTGGTTGAAAAACGGGGAAGAAATTGTCCAAGAAATAGTTTATGGGGACATTCTTCCCAGTGGGGATGGAACCTATGGGACATGGGTATCAGCTGAGCTGGATGCTCGGAGGGGTGACCTCCACTCCTACCCATGCAGACTGTGGCCTCCGCATGGTTTTTCAGGTCCCCCAGGGTAAGGATGGGTTGTGGCTGTCTGGGGAGGAAGAGGGAGAGAAAGGGCAGGGCTGGAAGCACTGTGTGCTTTTTTAAATTGGTGGTTCTCTCACTCTTTGGCCTTAAAGCTCCTTTATTCTTAACAATTATTGAGGACTCTGAAGAGCTTTTGTTTCTGTGGGTTATTTCTATTACTCTTTACTGTATTGTAAATTAAAAATTGAAAAGATGGGGGCGCCTGGGTGGCTCAGAGGGTTAAAGCCTCTACCTTCGACTCGGGTCATGATCCCAGGGTCCTGGGATGGAGTCCCATATTGGGCTCTCTGCTCGGCAGGGAGCCTGCTTCCCTTCCTCTCTCTCTGCCTGCCTCTCTGCCAGCTTGTGATCTGTCTGTCAAATAAATATATAAAATCTTTAAAAAAAATTTTTTTTAATTGAAAAGATGTTTAAGTATCAGAAAACATAACCTCATATCTGTTGGCTGTCAGAGAGATCAAGCCATCACATGTCATGTAGCCTCCTGAAAACTCCACTGGGCACTTGTGAGAGATGCAGATGAAAAGAAACAGGGAAATCCTGACTTAGACCCCAGGGACTCCCTGAAGGGATCTTGAGGCCCCTGGGGCATTCAGATCACACTTTGAGAACCGCAGTTCCTCTCTTTCCATTTATCACCCCACCCAGAAAAGTAACAGTAAGTGAAAAGTAACAGTAAAGGAAGTAGTGCTGGGCTTCCTGCTGATCACAGGGACAAAAGTCCCCAACAGTTGACAGAGAAGGGGAGGAGGGCTTGTGGAGTTTTTCTCACTTGCTGGCTCTCAGAACCAGAAATGATCCTGCTGGGGGTCCACTGTGGGAGAGGCCGGAGTTGGCATCCTGGGGGGCGGTGGGGAGACAGAAGACCCCGCGCTGCGGGCAAGTGGAGGTGGGGATTCTAGGGGCTATAGACAGTCACTCCTACAGCTCCATACAGTCTCATTTTGGCACCAGCCACTCCAAGCTCCATTTACAAATGGGTTGGGCGTCACTTTGCGATCACAGGAGGACGGGGAACACCGCTCCTGCGAGAGAGGAAACACACACCATGGCTAGCGCTGGCAAGGAAAGTGGTCTGATTCACAGGCGAGACTGGGCACCTGACAAAGACAAAGCCCAACTCCCAAATCCTGTCCAGGTGAACTGCCCTCATAGCCCTTGAGTCAGAGAGGGTATGGCGATCGTGATTGGTCTTTTTCCAAACTATATCTTTATTATTAATTAATATCAACTTTAAGGGAATTTTGTCCTTGGTTTCAAGACTTGAGTAAGTTTTCTCCCAATCATGTGAAAATCCTTTTCTTTCTAAAATCATCTTTCAGGGCACCTGGGTGGCTCAGTCATTAAGCGTTTGCCTTCGGCTCAGGTCGTGATCCCAGGGTCCTGGGATCGAGGCCCACATCGAGCCCCACATCAGGCTCCCTGCTCCGCAGGGAGTCCGCTTCTCCCTCTCCCTCTCTTGCTGCTTGTGTTCCCTCTCTCGCTTTCTCGCTCTCTCTCTGTCAAATAAATAAAATAAAATCTTCTAAATAAATAAATTAATTAACGAATAAAATCATCTTGAAGAATAATCTTTGGAAAATGGGATTCAGGGTTAAGGAAAAGGGGACGGAGAAATGAGAGATATATGGGCTCTTGACACTTTGGGGAAAAATTAATTCACTCAATAACTATGTAGTTGATACCTGTTATGTTCTGGGGACTGTACTGGGTTCTAGAATATGGCAGTGCAAAGGACAGACATGATTCCTGCTGTCAGAGAGCTTGCAGGCTAGTCTTACAACAACATTCCCCTGCTTCTGGCTTCTTTAGATGCACGGATTGGTCACAGCATAATATTGATGAGACCTGGATTATGGATTTGAACCCGCTGTGGGCTACGAGTTCGGCTTTGCTTCATAACCACAGACTTCAATCTCAATTTAGATGATACTGCACAAAGCATGTTATTAGATCAGAGTAAAACCAGCCCCTTTACCAGAAAATCAACTCAGGAGTTAGTGAGTGATTGATGTTTTCTTTATAAAGTAGAGCACTAATCCCAACCCAATAAGAAATGGCTTCTGAAGCTAAATACGTAAATAAACAAATAAATAATGAATTAACTAACAATGACACCCCTTTCAAGAATGATACACACTATGAGTTCTTATCTCGTGGAGTTTGTGAATTTGAGTTAAAATTTGTCAAGTGCTAAGAGAATCTTGACGAAGCAGGCTAAAAATGTCAATGCTGGCTTCTCAGATTTTGCTGAACATTACATAATTTGTTTTTGAGCTATAAGAAAAATTGCATATATCTGACTAAAAACTTTTCCTTTCAGAGCAAAATGGAGTCACCAACACTTTTACACCAGATCAATGATTGGAGATATCTTCTTCCCAGTGGTTTTTCAGCTAGGAAGCATGGTCTCCTCTTCCCCTATAGACTCAAGTCCAGTGCTCAAAATTCTTGGCCCCATCCATGATAACCTATGGATATCATAGGTTTGAGCATTTATGGCAGAAAGATAAAGAATGATGAAATTTTTGTGAGATCAGAGAATCTCAGAACTGGAGGGAACCTTCTGATCCAGGACAGGAAACATTCTCTCCAGTGCCTCTGACTGGAGCATCCAGCCTCCCTGGGAACACCCCCAGTGCGGGGCAGCTCACGACACCATAATGTGCTCTTTCTCTTCTTTCACAAGAATGCTTATTATGCAAGAGTTGGAACCTCACAGGTGCCTTTGCTGTGACCCGTTGGATGGGATTGGATCAGCCCATGAGATTAGCCAGTGAGCTTCTACAATGGCCTGTGAATGGCTGGATCATTTTACACGTTTCCTGACCTGCGAGAAAGTGAAAGTGCCCTGTTCTTATGGCAAATCCGCCGGGTAGCTTGGAATCTTGGAAGTATGCCTGGTCAGATCTGTGGAAGTGATCTCATTCTTTCAGATGTTTGTGGGAAAGTAAGAACACTAATTATCAGATGTGTTACCATCTTCGGTGGCACCGCAGTGACGTGGACCCAACTGCAATCTTTAATGCAGAAGTGAGAGTATGTCTCAGTCTCAGACGGGGGTTCGATTCTTCCTCTACTGGCTTCTCATAGACAGGGCTGCCTCCCCTTTATACATACACTTATTCTCCACATGTATGCACCGGGAATAAAGCAAAGCTTCACATGCCCTCGATCTTCCTTATGCCCCTAAAATCCTCACCATCATTTATCTCTAGTCCTGCTGAATTATCCTAGGATGGACATCAGTGGCATTCATCTGTCCCGCTCCTCTGACCCTGCCTGACCACATACTTCAGCCCAGACACTTACTTCAGTGGCCCCAACTTTGACAACCGGCTTTGAACACGACCCTTGGGCTTGACCCTTCACTTCCCTTGACTGTGACATTTGTCCTCTGGCTTTAATATCACAACCACAGGTAAAGACAGTCTCAGTGTGCCAGGCCTTAAAGAACCCACCTGCCAAGCCTACCTATTGCTTCACTGTCCCCACCTACTTCCATGGATGAAGGTCCTCCTGTACGTCTCTCCCTTCTTGTGCCGGCTGAGTCTCAGAAGACCACAATTGTCCCCACTTCTCTTGTTTTCAGGGTTGCCATGGGCAATTCTTATGCCATCCTTTAAGCAGTGTTGCACTGTGAAGAGAGCAGCTTTATGTGGGGAATGGTTTCTCACCATTTAAAATAGTTAGGACTTGGTATATTTCTGGACAGACACTGACAGTGAAACAGGTGATATGTCTATGTAAATGTCTTGTCTCTCCATCCGCCTGGTACGCTCCTCAAAGACATGAATGATCAAAGCCTCTTTGTGCTCCCAGGGCTTTACCCTACACTTAACACAAAGAGAAAACGTCCAAATAGATGAAGGGGAGGAGACAGAGGCAAGGTCAAGGATGTGGTGATAAGACCTTCTGTAATGCGCTTGCTGCATTTCTGCTTCTCCTGTGGGGACTTTATGATTTAAAAGCTACATACATGTAACATACAGGGGTGCCTTTAAATAATACCTAACATGTTGTAAGCTTCGTTTTACCAGTGGGGCAAAAGTCCATTATTTCTTAATAATTTTAGACCTGTAATGGCTTTATTTTTTTAAAGATTTTATTTATTATTTGAGAGAGAATGAGATTGAGAGAGAGCGTGAGAGGGGAGAGGGTCAGAGGGAGAAGCAGACTCCCTGCTGAGCAGGCAGGCCAATGCGGGACTCGATCCCAAGACTCCAGAATCATGTCCTGAGCCGAAGGTAGTTGCTTAAGCAACCGAGCCACCCACGCGCCCCCATAATGGCTTTATTAACTCATTTTGCTGACCAGATGCTCATAACTGGAATCCATGAAATATCTGATAACATAATCTCAATCTCAAACACAACACCCTGTGCTGTCACCAGAATCAGGTTTTGACTTTGGGCTGTCTTGACCCAATATGTGGGTTAAGAACACAGGACAGAAATCTGTTCAACTCTGTTCCCTGCTCCTCTTCCTTCTTCTTCTTCCTCCTTCCTTCTCTCCCTCCCTCTCCTCCTTCTCCCTCCTCTTCACCCTACTTCTTCCTCTTCAACTCCGTTCCATTTATTATCTCTTTTCTTTCTAAGCGCATAGAGACCAAGATGTAGCTCGTTTCCATGGCAGTGTAACAGGCAGGGAAGGAAAGCAGTTTGGAGAGCAGTGTGAAGGTCAGATGAGGTTTTCCCGGGGCCCGCACTGCTCTTCCCCAGGGGTCCTGAACTGTCCCATCAGATGGCTGGCCTCCCTCCTCTGCCTCTCTCTCCTTGCTCCCGCTATTTTTGAGTTCTTCTGAGCCTTCCCTTATTTCCGAGGAGCTGCTTGGTTTTTCCTCTTCTATTTTTGGCCTGAGACTGTTTTTGTAGTTGCGGCCATGAGGAATAGTCATCCACGAGAGAGGCCAGTGGTCACTTTCTGGCACAGTCACTCAGCAGGGTCACACCTGATTTTGGGCACATCTGGGGTCTTTGTGTT